TGCCAACTTGGGCCAGTGAAGCAACATCCTCCACAACTAGACTGAAGAACAAAACGACAGCAACTTGTCTGTCCCCCTTCCCCCAATTCCCCAGCGCTGTTCCCATCCCCCCAATTCACCAATAAAAAAAATCTTTAAAAAAAAAAAAAAAAAAAGAAACTAAGAGCACCCATTTTTCTTTGCGATTATCTAAAGGACAGAAAACAACATGGGGCTGTGGATCCCACTGTAAACAGCCCTGCTAATTACTATTAATTAATATTTAGCCTTCTTAATTTTATCATTAACCGGGAGGCCCCCTAGATAATGAGGTCCTTAACCTGTCTGTATTCCCAGGGCCAAATTTAGGACATGGGCACATAGCAGACACTCAGTAAATGTTTGTTGTTGAAGTCATATTGGCTTTGATATACGCTTTGGGCATCCGAAATCAAATCTACATTAGACTAAGTTCCACATTAATTCCATTTGTATCACTTTTCTTTGAGAATTTCTTTGGGGCCAAATTCTATTACTGACAATAAATAAAATATATGCAAATCACTGATAAGTGAGTAGCTCTAAGACTTCAGAGGGAGAAATATTAGTATAGGGGCTCAAAGCAAGAAATCTAAGGAAAGAAAATAAGATGAGCAAGAGATAAGGAAACAGAAATACCTACTGAAACTCTAATAATCTAGAAAGTGCTGAAATCTCTCTCTCTCCCGCCCCCCTTCTCCCCCTCTCCCTCTCTCCCTTCTTCCCTCCTTTCTGATGCCTCATCGGCAAAGAGTTGTCTCATGGGAAGATAGGAGGAGGGAAGAGGATAGACATGGAGCTGAAAGTCACTTCTAGCAAGCCTGAGATTTCTTTTAAGTCTCATATTTTATATAAAAATTTCAAGCGAAGCCTGCTTTTGACTCCAGAATATGTCAGACTTTGTTTTTATTTTAAAATATTTTCAGTTAAATTACTTGTATTACTTAGCTCCCTCTTGCAAGTATTTAAGTCAAAACGCACCCAGTGGCTCCTAGCCCCATGTAGCCACCACCAAGTATGTGTATCCCATTTTAAGAAGCATGGCCCTTTTAATTTAATTAAACATCAAAGTAACACATGCACATCGTTTTAAAAATCCAATGGAAGAGAAGAGCTTACAATGAAAAGCAAGACTCCCCTCCCCGCCCTTTCCCATCCCCAGCCTCACTCCCAGAGGAAACCACTTCAGTGTACAACTGTTTTTCTTTCTTCTAAGGGTTACTTAAGTATCTCTAGTGTTTTATCACTATGTCTTGATTTACGATTTATAGACAACATCCCTAGAGCTCCTGCTAAGAGAGATGAAAATTTAGTTCCCTCAGACCACCTGCCACCTACTTCCCCCTTTCCCTCCATATAGTGAATTCACTATTTTTACTAAGATTTCTAACTTTGTACTGAAAGTAAAAACTCAGCTTTTTAAAACTGCAATCAACACAGCAGCTTCAAAATGAACAAGATGTATAAAACTCACCTCTTTAACAATATTGTGGGCTTCTTCCGCATTGAAGCGAACCTAAAGGGGAAAAACAAAAGATAAAGCTGCTTTCAACACAGACTTCCTTTTTATTTGTAGTCATAATGATACAGAGAATCCCCTAGGCTAGCCTGGGCAGGTATTGGTGACAGGAGACCATAGTGATAAGGGGCATCCAGTCTACTGAGGCTGCTAATCCTACCTCAAACACTTAAAATTACAAAATGTTTTCCCCACTTACCTTCCTGGAGATTTTGATTCATTAGGTCTGGGGAAGCGCCTGTGCAACTACTTTTTTTTAAGTGCTTTTGGTGATTGTGATGAATGCCCTAGATTGAGAATCATTGCATTGTAAAGCGCAAGAAACAGCAGAAGACGGGTATAAAAAATGTGTTATCAGTATATAGGAAAATGGCTGCAGTGAAGTGAGAATGACGTGGTCCATAAGAACAGAATGCTTAATATAATAGATTACTTCAATTTTGTTTTTAACTGATGCTAGGTAAAAATGTGGCTTTCCTGAATTAAAGATTATGAAAATACTTGATCGTTCTAAATTAATGTCACTTTAATACTATATAATAGGTCTGGGCCGGCCGAGTAGCTCAGTTGGTTAAGAGGTCGCTCAAAAGTTTGAGCTCTGAGCAACAGCGGTTCGAGTCCAGCCCGAGCTGAGCAGCCGCTGAGCTGCCAACAGGTAGCAGGATGGCTCAGCTAAAAACAAAACAAAACAAATACTATATAATAGGTCTGGCAACTTAGTCTTTCCTTTGGAGTGACTTGATAAGACTCTTGAGTTAAAAGCAACTATTAATGACATCCAACTGTCTGTCCTAGAGTAGAGAACTAGGCTATATGATAAGATTGAAATCTATACCCAAATACTTCAGGTAATACATGATTTGTTCCCATAGAGACATTTTTAGGTGCTTTATGACCTCATTTTTAAAAATTCCACTACACAACTTAAAATTAGTTTCAAAAAAAGTAAATTTTTAAAATAAGTATCATCTTGAATATCGATGTAAAACATTTTCAACTCAATTACACCACAGAATTCCCCAACAAGAAAGGGATAAAAATACCCTGAATAATTAGGAATATTGTGAAAACAGTTCTCACATTTTGACCCTATTAAAACAATCATTTTACCTTAAAATAAGATTCTCATCTACTTTCAAAAGTGGTCTACAAATGAAAGGATGTCCATTTCATTTTGACTTGGAAGGACACCAAATAATCAGGATGTACTGGGTGGCCATGGTAACACATGTAATTTTATTTGTTTTAAAATATACTATTTGGGAAGTACTGCCATACAGAACCCTCTTAGGAGTCAGGAGACAAGCACATGCTGGGGGATATGCCTGAGGGTGAAAATTGCTTGTGGCTCAGTTTCTAAAATAAGAATACTGTACCACTGACCTGTAAGTATGTATGCTACCTGCATCACAGAACTGATTTAAATGTGGTTTTACCTTCTGTAGAAACCCACATCCTAAAGATGGTGGACCAGAAACCCTTTCCTTAAAGGTGACTAATAATATATCATTTTAGGCTGTACCTCCACCACGTGCCTACTTTTTTTCACCGCACCATTCACCTGTGGCTACCACTGGACAGAAAATGCCTTTGTTTATTCTGCCTTTGCAGGCCTGTCACAGGATACGCTGGGATCCAATAGGCTTCATCCTCCTACTGGTTCATGTGAAGCCAGAGTTGTAGTTGTTCGGTCAGAGAGGCCTGGGTTCAAATGGAGCATCTGCCATTCCTGGCAGTTTAAATTTGGGGCATGTCACTTAGCCACCATGAAAGTCAGAGTCCCCATCAGTAACAGGAAGATAAGTGACATCGTGGGGTTCTGGTGAGGATGTGGGAAGCCTGAGTCAGTAAGCAAGAGCTCGTAATCCGTAAGGCACCTCCATTCGGCCAACCCAGGCGAAGAGCTGAAGCGGCTCAGCCATCAGGGCCTCGCACACAGGACGGCCACACCTGCTTTGAGGACGCCAAGGGACGGAGGAAGCAGCCGGGAAAACCGGTTTCCAAGGCCTGCCCGGCAGACGGGCGGCACCCGCCACCCCATCTCCACCCCGTGCATCCCAAGTCAGGCCTTCCACCCCCTCGGCCCTGACCCCACTGCCAGCCCCAAGCGCTCCCGGCCATCCCTGCCACCCGGGTTCTCAGCCCACCCTCCGAGCTTTGGGGTGGGGGACGGGTGGGGCGGATCCCTGGCCCGGAGGAGAGGACCCAAGCACGGAGGACGCTGCACCCCAATTGTCGGGGCTGCCTGTCTCCTGGAGACCAGGTGGCCAAGACCCCGCGCTGAGGCAGGCGGGGGCGGGGGTCGCTCACAGGCGGCCGAGGGGCGGTACCTCGTCACAGTGGCGATGGTACTCCTCCATGGTGGCTCCGACTCTCCCAGGGGGCGGAGCGATGGGCGGGTCAAGCTCCGCGGCCGCGCACTGGCCTCCCGGGAGAACTCGCCCCTGTTTATGTCCTGGGGCGGTACCCACGCAGGAGTCGCCTTTGTGTCGCAGCGGCGCCGCCGTTCTGGGAGCACCGGCAGAGTTCTGGGAAGTGGGAGGCCTCTCCCCGCTGCCTCCAATCTTTCTGGAAACAAGGGATGGGTGTTAAAAAGCTGGGAATTGTGCCAGCGTAGATTAGATGGGGTGACCTGGTGTCAGTCAAACTCCACATTATTGGTTGAGTGCTCACTGCTGTGGTTATTTGCACATCTTTGTTCATCATCATTCAGCAAATAAGTGTAGTTAATGTAGTGGTGTACAATCCGCTTTCATTTGTCCACTTACTAGCTATGTTACTTGGAAAAACGAACCTCCCACAGCCTCAGTTTTCTCATATGAAAACTTAAAATTAAACTTATTTCACGGTTGGTTATAAGGATCAAATGAGATGCAGTATATATATATAACTCCTAAAGTAGATGCTCCTACACCCTTCCTCCTCAATGGCTATGTGAAAAGAAAGATTTGATTTATGGGAGAAAAGGTAAAAATACTCTAAAATAAAGTAAAAGTTTTAGCTGAACAATGGTTACACTTATTTTAAAATAGTAAGTTCCAGATGATCTTTAGGATTTCCTCCTTTAAACCCATAACTACCAACCAGTCTTGGTTCTGTGACCATCATCCCATTTTTCAAGGTGAAAATTTAAGAAGAAAGAAACCTAGAGGTAGGAGTAGGGCATTTCTGACAACTTTTCACCTGGCTGTGAGTAAATTCAAAGGCTTTTTGCTGGTGGACCAAGGGATAAAATAATCAGATTCCATGGCCTGCCAAGGGGGAGGTCTCCAGTTAGAATCATACTTCGTGTTAAGACTCCAAGGAGCACACCCTCCAAGGTAAGCGTGTAAAACAACAAAGCTTGATCTTGCTGGGACTGCAGTTCAGTTTTAAACCACTTCAATCCTTGAAATTGAATTAAGGTGATCTAGCATTGCTAATGGCTCTAGCCATCTTCCAGAAGCAAATGTAAATTCTTTCTGGAGGAAGCAAACATCATGCTGGGCCTCAAAGCAGATATATAATTGCTCACACACATCATCAAGTGCACAATAAAATGTAACTAGATGCATAAAAAGAAAAAACATTTATCATAATCCTCAGATAATGAAAACAGCCCAAACAGGTATCTAGATGATGGAATTATGAGAAATAGACTTTAAAATAATTGTGCTTAATATATTTAAAGAGACAAGATTGAGAACTGGAAAGAATTGGTAGTTATAAAAAATATCCAAATGGAATTTCTAGAAGTGGGAACTACTGTAACCAAAATAAAAAAAACTTAAAGGGTGGGTTCCATAGTAGTTTTGGCAAAGCTGAAGATTTAATTGGTGAAATTTTGAAAATAGGCAATAAGGAAATATTCATAATGGGGCATAAATGAATGTAAAATGTGGGAGAAAGCACAGGGACACAAGGAATACCATGAGAATGTCTAACATACATAATTGGAGTTCCAGAAGGAGATGAGAGACAATGGGCGAAGCAATATTTGATGAAATAATAGCTGAAGATCTTCAAAAAATGATGAAAAGAACTTCATTAATCATAGTCTCTACAGGGAGCAGATGGAACACTAAAAATGTAATAATTCATCAAGGATTTATTTACAATGATGTGTATTGTAAATGGGAGGTGGGTATGGGGGATCCACAAGGAATAGTTCAGAAACATGATACAAAATATTTTTTGCCCCTCAACATTCACCCTCTTGACCAGCTACAGAGGCAGGAACTATTAAGGCTATTTATTGTTACTTGGTCCTTTCTTGCCTTTTACTCCATCTTATATAAAGGACACTGATCATGGCTAATTTTTTTATTTCAAGTATATAGTTATATGACCAACTTGTTCTTACATTGGAATGATACAGCACTGATGGGTTGCCTCTAAATGTCAAGGAGCATGTTTTAAACTGAGCATCTGTTACCTTTATATGGGCCCTGTGATTGGCAATATAACATCACCAATGTGATGGTGGATCAATGTCATATTATACAATTTTGGGGGTTGAGGGATTCCTTCAAACCCACCATGGAGGCCTTCTAATTTTTTAATGCATGTTCTTATATTCAAAGCTCTTAAATTACATATATTTTTTATATCTGTGCTTTCTAAAGTTATTATAAGATACCAGGTGACTCTACAATCTTTATTAGCACTTTTGTTGCTATTGAGACTAAGTGCTACAGCCACTTGATCTCCAGTGCCTCACCCTCCACTTGCATTTCATCCTCTGGTGACAATATGAGTAATCATGATGTCACTTTACATCATGAATTACTCATGCCCCATTGCTTCTCAGCAAGAAGATTATCCATGTGCTCCTTGAGTATATAAACAACGGAGTCCCAGAGTTACATTTCAAGATCTACTTCCTCAGGGTTTAATTCCTAACATCCTGTATTAGTCAGGGTTCTTCAAAGAAACAGAACCAACAGGATATATATAGCTAGATAGATAGAGAGAGAAAGAGAGAGAGAGAGAGAGAGAGAAAGGAAGAGAGCGTGATTTATCTTAAGGAATTGGCTCACACAATTGTGGAGGCTTAGTGAGCCCAAAATCTGATGGGGAAGATCAGGAAGCTGAAGACTCTGGAAAGATTCAGTTGAGGTCTAAATGCAGTCTGCTGTGGAACCAGGAAGAGTCCATGTTGCAGATGAAGTCAGCAGGCTGTCTGCTGAAGAATTCCCTTTTGCATGAGGGAGGTCAGCCTTTTGTTCTAGTCAGGCTTTTGACTGATTAGATTACCCTCCCCCCACATTCTGGAGGACAATCTGCTTTACTCAAAGTCCACTGATTTACATATACATCTCATCAAAAAAACCCTCAGAGAAACATTCAAAATAATGCTTGACCAAATATCGGGGCACCACGACCCAGCCAAGTTGGCATAAAATTAACCATCACAGGCTACTTCTGGTACTAGTACTGTATCAGTCATGTTGCCAAGATAAGCAGATGGCACACTTAAATTGGCATAAATTGAAGGAGCTCATTTACAAAAGGACTAATTACAAAGGTGTGGGCAGGTGAATGACAAGTGATATTATAAGAATTTGGGATTAGCAACACAGGAGCTATCAACACTTCTAGGCCCAGAAGTTTGAGGGGAAAGAGAGGCTTAAACAGTCATGTGGAGTCATATGGAGAAGGCCACTTTGAGAGGAACAGTGGCCATTTGTGGAGGGATACATCAAACCCAAAGCACCTTTCACAAAAGGAACCAGAGGAATTTTTTTTTAAGATTTTATTGGGGAATTGGGGAGGGGGAACATTGTGTTTTTCCAGGACCCATCAGCTCCAAGTCAAGTTGTTGTCCTTCAGTCTTAGTTGTGGAGGGTGCAAGCTCAGATCTAAGTCCAGTCGCCACTTTCAATCTAGTTGCGGGGGGTGCAGCCCACCATCCCATGCAGGAGTCAAAATGGCAACCCTGTTGCTCAGAGCTTGCACTCTAACCAACTGAGCTACTAGGCTGGCTCAGGAACCAGAAAAATATTTACCCTGACCTCTTCTCCCTCCTTCTGATCTACTGATGTTCCTAATTGGTTGAACCTAACTGGCAACCAGAGGGTATGGGAGTTATTGTAATCTAATCCTTGGGTCAGCTTCCCAAGGCAGAGAATGGGGTAGAACATGGATGTGGAGAGGCAGAGGACACCTAGCACAGGTCTCAGACCAGAGATCCAAGAATCCCTAAGATTCCCCAAGCAGAAAGAATAAAATAAAAATCATATTTTGTCACATCACACTGAAAACCAAAGGAAAGCGAAAAATTATAAAGTAGGCTTGCCCCCAAAAGAAGGCAAATTACCTTCAAAAGTCAAACAAGAAGACTGATATCTGACTCCACACAGAAACAGTGGAAACCCAATGATAATGTATTTGCTTTCAATGACAATATATTTTCACACCTTTGAAATACTGAAGGAAAATTCTGTCAAATCAGAATGTATACCCAACAAACATAACCTTCAAAAATGAAGATGAAATAACAAAAATTTGAAGTAAATAACTGAGAAAATTAGTCACCAGCAGAAGCGCACTTTAAGAAATACAAAAATCTGGGCCGGCTGAGTGGCGCATTGATTAAGACCTGGCTTGGGATGCCAGAGGGCCCCGGTTCAGATCCCACATATGAGGGCCAGTGACACTGCCCTCTACAGCTAAGATGCTGAACAACAGCTTGACCTGGAGCTGGGCTGCTGTGGGTCGCTGGCGACAGCATAGGCTGCAGCCTCTGTGGCAGTGGGTTGCCATGGGCTACCGTGTGTAGCCAGCAGCCAGTGTGAGCGGCCAGCAGCCTCCGTGAGTGGTCGTCCAGAGGCCAGCGACTGATCTGCCTCGCCCGGGAAGAGCGCAATGATGGTGCCAGCTTGGGCTAGTGAGGCAACATCCTCCACAACTAGACTGAAGAACAAAACAACAGCAACTTGTCTGTTCCCCTTCCCCCGATTCCCCAGCGCTGTTCCCCTCCCCCAATTCCCCAATAAAATCTTAAAAAAAAAAAAAGAAATACAAAAATCTATTCTTTTGGCAAAAGGCAAATAATCCTAGATAGAAATTTGGTCAATATACGAATAGAAGGAAATGAAGAGTGATTAAAGGGATAAATTTGTGGATACATTTGATGATTATCAACTCTATAAAATGATGATAATGTCTTATGGAGTTTAATATATATATATATGTCAAATGAAAATACAGGATAACAATTTAAGTTGAGAGGAAGATAAATTGATTTGGTGTTCAAAGGTTCTTTCATTGTCAAGAACGTGCGTAAAAAATATGTAGTTATATTTTGATAAGTCAAGAATGCATTTTGTATATGGTAAGAAATAAAGGAAAACTTTTAAAAATGTATGATTACTAAGCTAACAGAGTGGGGAAATAGAACAATAAAAATACTAAACTCAAAAGGAGTCAAGAAAGAGAAGAAAATATAACATAGCACAGGTGGTACAAATAGGTACCAAATAGTAAGATGATATATTTGAACCCAAATA